AAATTGAAACACGGATAGTTCTTCTATCAAAGTTGTTGTTGTTTTTATTTTCACGATGCCAGCTGCTGCCATTGCTCGTGGTATGATTTTTGCAATGCACAATTGCAGCAACACCGGCAAAGACAAGACACTCAGCTGACGGTGATTGTCGGTGAGTTAACAGTCGTCTGTAGTTAGTAGCGGACGGTGCTTTTATATGGAGTAAGTATATATATGTACATATGTATAGAGTACGCGATAGAGCATATTCTTAAGTTTATGTGAATTTTACGCTGCTATCGTAAAATTATTCGCTAAATGCGTATAAAATATTTTATGAAAATATTTAAATCTGTAATTCTATATAAAACTATGAACTTAAGTATTCCAGATTACATCAAAAAACAAAAAAATTATAAAAAAATTTTTTTTTAACTTTTTTTTATAATTTGTTTCATTAATTTTCTGTACATTTCATTGAGGAATTATTTACAATATTATTGTATTAAAAGCGTACTATAGTGAAAGTTTCCTTTTATATTTAACTCATAAAATGTAAATAATTGAACATTAAAAATTTGTTTAGATATATTTTTTATATTAACAATTTTGGTAAATATTTTAATACCACAAAATTAAAAAAAAAAATTAACAAATATGAGTAAACTGAATTATGCTTAATTGCACAATTTCTTTTAAACAATTCCAAATCTAACATTACTATATATTGCCTTAGTTTCTAAAAAAATATTTAAAAAAATATGTTTAAACTTTCTTTTTGCGCATGTACATGAGCAAAATACACAACTAATCCAGCACTCAGAGCAAAATTATTTTATGGAACATAAAACTAATATTAAATTAACATACAATATAACACAAATGAAGATCACACAGTTTATGAGCGCTCTAATGAGCTGGAATTGCATTATTGCAAAATAAAAATTGCATTTTTGTATTATTTGTCTGAGCTTTTTTTTCATTTTCAACCAGGCTCACGCTGACAGTTTACTGTCGGATATTTACCGCTTAGACATTTCTTTTGTTGCACTATTTTTGAACTCTTTTTGTGTTGCGTCAATCTTTTCCCACACTTTGTCGGCAGCCGGTGGCAGCTGGCGACAATATGCATAATATGTGTATAAAAATAAATGCATATAACATATAGTACATGTACATATATAAGACATGTGTGTGAATACGAGCATTTATTGCACTTGTTATGCAGACATGCATATATAATATTATATGTTTACATATATTCGTTCTGTAGTATGTAGTTAGTTTGTACACACATATGTGTATTCTTATAAAAAATTGTTACTCATGCCGTAATTTGTTAAAAAATTATGGTAGTTATATCAGCTAAATTATGACAACTTAAGTATCGGTGTGTAGAAATAGTGCTAAATTTACATAACAGCAATCACAGACTAAACCGTAATTGAACTCAAAATACCAGAGTAATTTTATAAGCAAAAGGTGCAACAAGTAATTGTATGTATACCTTTATTCAATAATGTCTGAGTGACTTTATTTAACTACATAAGAGTTAATACTAATATATGGGGCTAGACTTATTTTGTTTCAATACATAAAGTTTATTTTATTTAAATAAATGTTGTTTAATTAATTCTTTAATTTGTTTTAATTTATTTTACTTTATTTTATTTAATATTATTTTATTTCATTTTATTTTATTTTATTTTATTTTATTTTATTTTATTTTATTTTATTTTATTTTATTTTATTTTATTTTATTTTATTTTATTTTACAGTACTTTATTTTTTTTTTTTATTCTGTATTATTATACTTTATTTTATTAATTTAGTTGTTTTTATTTTAATTAAATTAATTTAATTTAATTTTATTTATTTTTTTTTATTTTATTTGTTTTCTTCTTTAAAAAGCAAGAGCTAAAAATTAAAGAATTTATAGGCATTTTCAAAAGTTGGCCAATATTTAAGCAATATTTTTTTCGATTTAGCAATTTAAGAAATATATAAGTGTGCATATTTTACATATGTATAGCCTATGAAAAATTGTAACTCTTTTGTAACTGGCAGCATGTACACAGAAAATAAAATCACGCGTGCGTGATGTCTACCATACTTTACTTTGTATATACATATGTGGCTTATTTATGTAGTGTGTGTTCGAAAATTAATGACACGATTGCAACAAGTTTTCAACTAAGCCGTGACAATAAATCCAAAAGTATATTACACTGTGACAGCAACGGTAATTAGTGTGTGCGATGGCTTTGTATAGTAAAATATTTAAAAAAAAAAAAAAACAAAGACACCAGGCAAGTAGGAATAAATTTGACGAGTGAAGTATAGTGTGTAGAAGAATTAACTAAGATAAAAGTAAAGTAAAGAAAAACAATTTCGTATGCTCTATGTGCTGGCGGAGCAGGTGTTGCTTGAACTAGCTGGCCCATAAAACGAACAAAATATATATGTATAGTCATACACCAGTTTGTGCGCAGAAGAAATAAGAAAAATATCTGCTAGTCCCAGCTTAAACGTCCGCCGGTGTCGGTAAATGCAGCTCAGCATTGTTTAACAAAAAGTATATTCACAAAGTGGGTTAACAATCAATTGAAAGTGTTAAGTTGGCCGGTATTTTACAGCCGGCAAAGTTTTAGACACATATGTATATATGCGCTGATATGTAAATATGTAGTACAGACATAAAATACAAAACCAGCTGCTGCAAACGCTTCTAAATACCTGTGAAATAGGTCGGCGTTAGAAAGTAACAGTGTTGTTTCCAACAGCAACACAAATCGAAATAGTTTTTCGTTGTTTATTTATTTCTAATAAAAATTGTAAATAAATCATATGCATCATTTATATTCCATCTCTATAAAAGCTGTTCCTTTTTTCACCTCAATCCCTCTTTTCATGGAAAGTTAAGTTTGACGAAAGTTGTTTACATTTAAGCCTAATTAATTTTTACTTAACTGTTCAGTTTATACTCTCTTTTGTTAATATGAAAGCAAAAAACTTTTGCGGTACAAATAAATTTTTGGGCAGGATAAATTTTTTCATTGGTCCTACACGTATATAAGTAAAAGTTAGAAAATAATGATAATGATAAAAAAAGATAAAAGAATAAAAAAATAACTAAGGTAGTATCTAAAGGAAATACATAAAACAAAAGTATTATATACATATATTACTATGTAAATATTTAAAAATTTGGCAACTCGCAATTCTATTAAGTAAATGTTGGAACCTCTGATTTAATATAATTTTAGCAGTTTTTTGACTGATTTTTTTTATCAGTCTCGTTTTTTTTGGGACACTCATTTAAGCCCTCAGGTACAGACTAGCATAGTTGATAAGATTTTAAACACTTCCCTAAAACAAATACTAAAATAGTTTTTCACTGCAAGCGCTAAAAAATTAGATAAATAAAAAGGAGCTCAATGTGTTTTGACTTACTTTTATGCTTATTTTAAGTAATTTTTTTATTATACTATCATACATTTACAAATGTTTAATATGTCAAAACAACTTTTTTAAAGCTATATTTTCCTTCTTTTTTTATAATAAAAAAAGTTGAAATTATTAAAAAAATCAAATTTCATATATTTTCACATACCAATAAATCATATTAGGCAACCACACGTAGTTGCATTTAACCAAGTGAGTTAATTATTCACTTACCACCGCTAAATGTTGCCAATTGTGTAAAGCAGGAAACTTAAAAATGTATACATACAAACATATATACAATATATAACTATTTACAAACGTAAGCCAGAAATCATTCACACGTCATGATTTCTGTAATGAAAAAAAACACAACAATAACAACCAACAAAAAATTATAATTATAAAAAGTTTATATCACTAATAGCATGTAACTTAAATACCGTTAGCAAGTGTCGGTATGCAATGTGAGTGATTTAAAATGAACGGTTAAAAACAAACTGAAGTAGAAAACGGCGTCAAAAACAATTAAGATACACAAATAACAGTTACATAATATATGTATTTGAGTGATATACATATGTATTTAATATATATATATAGGATTTTGTTATGACATAGCATATGTTTATAAGTAATTACATACATATATTTATTATTGGCTAGCATTTCAGTAGATAAACAAACACACAATTACAAAATTCCAAAAATGTACATACATATATACATGTATGTATTAAAATAGCTAATAGCCGTAGTAATCTATCATTAAACTAAATAATTCATTTAACACGTACTAAACGGTAACTAAAACAGCATAAAATGCAAGCATTAAAGGGAAATTGCAAACGCACTTATATATAATATATGTGTATGTGTGTAATATTTAACGTGAAAATATGCCAAAATCATAACGCATAACAAAGTAATGACAAAAACAAGCAGCAGCAGGGAGCGTTAACGAGGCGATGCGTCGACATACATACATACAAATATAATATATAACATTGTGCATTAAACTCAAACTCATGCACTTATAGCACACATTCTTGCTCAATTTGTACTAAGACACCTTTATAAGGGTAAACAAACATATTAAAAATGATTTAAAATATATGAAAAAAAAGCAAAGCAAAAAACTGAAAATTATTATTTATTTTTACCATTTCACTTTCGCTTTCAACACGCCTTCAAGTCGCACTTGACGCTTGGCTTACTAGCATACCAGCTAACCGGCTTAACTGAAATCATATTCATCGTTAGCGCTGTGTCATATCGTAATAATATCAGTATAGCGCTATTAGCACATCAACAAATTGTTTTTGTTGTGTTGCAAATTACGCAAGTAATGACGCATTAGCATGTTCGAGTATGTGGCATAAATGAAAGGAAAGTTCGTGCCTTAAGTCTTTCGTTTTTACTTAAGATCCGGTAGTTGTACTTGCCGTATACCATATGTATGTAAAACATGATTTAATGTGCATATATACACACTTTTTATTTGCTGTTATATTTTATATTTTATTTTTATTTTTATTTTGCAGCATTTATTAACTATTAAATTTTTCATGTTGACTTTTTATTGCAGAAAATATATTAAACTTTTTCGTCGGCTGTTTTTATGTAAAAAAGTAGAAATAAAATAATTTATCTGAAAATAAGTGGCAAAATGTATTTGTTTGTTTTTAGCTTACTCAAAGGGTTAAAGATGAAAAACTTGCTAGATGACGCTGTAAAAATATTTAACCCGCCTACTTAGTCCTTCTAATTTCTACTTAATAATAACTTTATGGGCATACATATTATATTGACGAGTTTAATCACCTTTCATTACCATTGCTCATTCAACTGTTGTCTAGGTGAAAATTTGAGCTAAAAATTGGCAAGAGTAATCATAGGCTATAAATAAAGTTTGGCAAATTTATATGAGAAATGTTTGGAAGTATACAAACAGCAGCACATACATTATAATAGGCATAAGAGTAATCATAGCAAGCTTGCTCAAAAAACTGCGAAAACTATAATGAAAATGCCACAGTAAAATTTTTAACTTAAATTTTTTAGCATTACTCTTACGAGACAATAAAAAAATCGCATAAAAAGACTGTAAAATATTTGTCCAGTGGCCAGTTCCTATCGAGCTCCAACATAGTCTTTAGAATAGAAGTGCTTATTCAGATTTCATATAGAGAATTTAGAACTACTTTTCATTTGGAATTAATCAAGTCCATTTTATTTCAAGCTTTTAATCACATTTAAGCGAGGACCGAAAAAACTTTCACACCTTCAGGCTCTGGCCAATGGTTTTATGCCATTTGAATTTTTCGCATTCTGTCATATATAAATGTAGGTGTTTACAGGTTTTCATGTGTACGTGCAAAATTCTGAATGCAATTTTCAGGTGGTCAGTGAAGTGATACGTCAAAAATACTTCTTGTTTACAATGGAATTTATCTAATTATCGTACATATCAGGTGTCTAATTATCTGATATGTTTGCATCTCCTCGTCTTTGGCCTCTGGAGCAGTTAGCGATTGAAGGCTCCGCAGCTACAGATATCTCAGATGGCATCGGGTAAAGGAAACCCATTTTTGCTTACGAGCCTAATGTTCAACAAATAATTAAATTGAATATTTCTCCACCCCCTTAGACATATTGGTAACTCTTGTATCCAACATATCGGGTTGCAGAATATTTTGTCACAATAAAAAGTCAATTTTTTTCTCAACTAAAATATATATTCAAAATTTTATGTTACTCATACGCAACCGCGACCAGCTGCCCAAAATCGCTCATTACAGGCATAGCTTTGTGAGCAACTAAAACCAATTACCAAAGAAAAATCCAAATGAACTTAACTAAAAAAATATCGTCATTCACAGTTGCATCGCATTCAATGAGCGCTCCACTTGTGTAACAAAAACAAATCTAATTAACTACTCATTTTTCATCAACCTCAAAATTTTCAAAAGCCACAAAATCTGAGTTTTTTTGTTACGTGAGGTCTGCAAGTCAGTGTCATTGTATTGTAAAACAACACCAAAGGTTTTGGATTTTTAAAACTAATATTAAAATAAACGAATAAAGTAAAAAAAGGAAAACAAACTAAAAACAATAAAAATAAGGTTGAAAATAAACAAAAATATTAAAATAAAATAATATTTTTAAATTAATTTAAATAAAAAATGGCTAAAGTAATATAAAGCAATATATAATAAAATAATTCATTAAAAAATAATTAAATTAAATAAATAAAATAAAACAGAATAGAATTAAAATTAAAAAATAAAATTAAATTAAACTAAGTAAAATTAAATGAAACGTAATTAAACAATAAAATAATACGAAATAAACGATAGGAAAATTATATATATTATAATTTGAAATAAAACAATATTTTTCAAATAAAAAATAAAATAAATAAGAAATTTTACTAAATTAAATAAATAAAATTAAAATAACTAAGAAATATTTTAAATTTAATTAAAATAAAATAAAATAATTTAAATATATAGATGTTAATCTAAAAAAACTACTAACTTTAGACTCAATAAAATAAAATAATTACATAAAATTAAATTAAATAAATAAAATAAATTTAAAAAAAAAATATAATAATTAAATAAATTAAACTAAATAAAAAAAATTTAAAATAAGCAATTAAAGCTGATAAAAAGTTATATAAAATAAAATTAAATTAAATTAAAAAAATATGGAATAAAAAAAAATAAAACAAATTTAAACAAAACCAAAAAATAATAATTAATAAATATATCAAGATTAAATAAATTTAAATAAGCTATATGAAATTTAATTTGAAAAATGAAATCTAATAATGTAAACGGAATAGGTAAAAATAATTTAAATAAAACAAGATGAAATCAAAATAAATGAAATTAAACGAACGAAAGCAAAGTAAAATCAAACAAATTTACAGCAATAAGAAACCAATCACTTATAATTAATGGAAACATAAAAAACTATATATACAGGTCTGCAATGGGCAATAAAATACATTAAAGAACTATGACTATCATATTTGTTTTATCATAGATATATCATTACAACTTTTAGGTACTACACAAGCGATAAAATCTCTGCATTTCGACAATGCTATAAATTGGCCAAATGTATGCACATTAATCTGGTATGAAAAATCAAATCTTTTCAAGTACCTTTTGAGGTCACTGCTCCTTATATTACACAAGCGATTGCAAAGATATATCTATCGACATAAACAAATGGTGCATTCACTTTTTTGTAAACAAATAGCTCAATCTATATTTGCAAATCAATCTTACAAGGCAACAGCAAAATTTTCCACTTTAAAAATAATACATACTTACATACAAATTTAAATGCTCTTACCAACAATTTTTGCAATCGACCAGACGTCAGTACAAATTCGGTCATTTTATTAATTACACTTTTACGTGTTTTTAGTAACATTTGCACTAAAAGTAAAGAAAAGTAACGAAAAATAAATATATAGTAAAATTTCGAGATCAATTGCAGACGTACTCGCACTACTTAATAACATATAATTTAATGTTTGGCTATTTCTTTACACTTTTAAAACGTGTTGCGAATAACTCATGTTGTGAACTCACTAAACAAAATAAATATGCCTTTCCAGATGTACATGTATTTAAGTTTTTCATAACTAAACATACGTCTCTATGCAATCATTCATCAAAAGATAAAAAATTATGAAAACCAAAATATCTGAACTAAAATAAATTAAAATAAATTAAAACAAAAAAAATCGAAAAATCTAAATAATACAAATATAATAAAAATGAAATAAAATAAGATAATCTAAAATAATATAAAATCAAATAAATATAATTTATTTAATAAAATAAAAAAAGCAAAATCAAAAAATTAAAATAAAATAAATTATTATAAAATAAAATAAAACAAAAACGGAAATAAAATAAAATAAAAATCTATAAACTAAATAAAATTAATTGAATTTAAATTAATTTAAATAAAGCATTATCAATAAATTCAAATAAATTACAATAAAATCAATATAATGAAATAAATATAAATTAAATAATAAATAGTAAAATAACATTTAATTAAATTAGGTAAAAATAAAAAATGAAATAAATTAAAATCAAACAAAAATAAAATAAATTTTAATAAAATAAAATAAAATAAAGTAAAGCAAAAAATAAAATAAAATAAAATGAAATAGATAAAATACAATGAAGTAAAATAAAATAATGTAAAATCAAACAAAATTAAATTAAATGAAATTAAATTAATTTAAATTCAAATAAAATAACGCAAAATCCAATAAATTAAAATAAAGTAAAATATTATGCGATAAAATAAAATAAAATAATCTCCAATAAAGTAAAATAAAGTAATCTGAAATAAAATAAAATAAATTCAGATAAATAATATAAAATGAAATAAAGTAAAATAAACAAGATTAAATATTATATAATATAATAAAATAATAAAATGAAATAATGTAACATAAAATATAAAGAATAAATATAAAATAATTCAAAAAAAAATAAAGTAGAATGAATTAAATAAAGTTTAAATACAAAAATTAATTAAATTAAAGTGAAATTTAAAAAAAAAAATATTATAGATCAATAAATAAAAAAAAAATCAGGACCATAGAAATAAGTTCTAAATAAGCCCAGAAAAGTGTCATATGAAAGCTTTTGGGCCTAAAATAGAAAAATTGCGTTAAAAGTATTGAAGCTTTTTACGGAGAGCTTTGTGTTAGGGCTTGACGCGATCCGATAGCTTTCACTTAAATTTAGCGAAGCTTTGAGGCTTTCACCGAAGTGCTTAAGCTATTACCTGAACTTATGTGGATAATGTTTATAGCAATATTTTCCAACTTCCAAACACACATATTTACCACCACGTTGACATTGATATCGAAAACTTTTTTTGGCAAATAAGTTCAATTGAATTGAAAATGTAATTCATACCACTTGATTAGGCCAATGTACTCCATTTTACTTACATACATACACACATATATTGTTCAGTGCCAAAGATGAAAACAAATATTTTAGCAAACACAAAATGAAAACCCTCAAAACAACCACAAATATTTTTTTACACTACAAAAACACACACAAAAAAAACGTATATTTACTTTAAAACAAACACTTTACTTGCGCATAATGGTGCATGCCTCACGCAGCCACACAATCAGCCAAGCAGTCACTTCTTTCTGCTCTAATAACTATCGCTCATGCCAGTACAAGTGGAATAAATCAAGAATTTCTGTAGACTGCAACATGAAGAAGCAGCGGCGAAATTTAAGCAACTGCAAGATAAAAACTGAAATTTATTTTGCAATATATAAATACGTATATGCTGGCTGATATATGTATGTAGTATAATACATATAAAAAATGCGCTACACCGCCCAACCAGACATAACCCACACTAGCAAGCAGCTGACGGGCAGGTGTTGAAAGCATTGAGTAGGCTTTATTGTGCGTTGGCGGTCAGTAGGCAGTAATGTTGCAAGAAGCAACACAAATGTTTGAAGGTATTTTTTGTAGTGTGTGTGTGTGTGTGTGTGTTTATGAGTATGTAAGTGGTGCGGTTTTGGCATTCTCATACATACGCAGAAATTTACATACAGTTATATGGTTATACTTGAGTTTTCTTCACTTTCGCACGCAAATTGACATACATACAAATGTATAAATTATGATATGTAGACTCTTACCACAAAAACCGCAAATCTTGCACCCACATACTTTATCTCTTCTTTCCCTTCTTCTACTGTTTCACATTTCTTGCCTTGATGTGTTTTGCTATTAAATTTATTTCGCACCTCAGACGTATGTGGTGATCTACATCATATCTTCTATATACATATATATTTATGTGCATATTCACATATAATTTGCTTGTGCCACACGCACAATTAACTTCAAAATTAATTACAATTTTACACGAATTTTGCTTTACCTGCACCAAAAAGCAACAAAATAGACTTCTTAATATATATTCCACTGTAACCCGCTGCAAAGTACTCCTATTTTTGTAATTTTTGTAATTTTTGAAATTATTGTTGGTGCGCGTGTGTCAAGCTGCAATTACCAAAAGCAACATTTGAAAATGTCGCCTTTACAAAATTGAAATTAACTTAATTTGGTTTGTTTAATTATTTATATGTTTTTATATGCTGAATAACATTTATTGCCATTAATTTTCAGTTTATTTCATCTCCATCATTTTCGTTTTTTCTACGTTTTTTGCAGATTTCGTAATTTTGCTTTTTGGTTTCGAAAGCTTGGCACGTACTTGAGTTTATGGTAAGTCGCCGTTTTCTGTTATAAACACGCATAAAAATATTTTCAAAGATATTAACAAAAAGCTTCTGGAAAATTTGAAGTAAAAATGGTTTTGGTGATCTGTACCTCGCGATTAGAATATGGTAAGCGGCACTGGTTGAAGGATGGAGGTTAAGTACCAGATCCCGTGTATATCAACTATGCCGTTTTTTTGGACTTCGCTCGGTTTTATAAATTCCTTGAGTTTCATCCTACTATTCGTGCTTACCTCCGTAGATTGGAACTGAAAGCGTCGGGAAAGATGTGACATCTAAATGAGTTGAGAGCAACGGTGATGCTTCAGCGTTCTTCTATGCATGCTGCGCATTCCATTGTCTAGCTTACGAAGATGATATCTCAGAGATAGATAACCGGTTAATACACCCACAAGAATTATGGGCTCTCTTTCACTTAATGCCGGGCCACAACAGTTTGGCAGTACGTTCTACGATGGAAGACAGCCCAAGCCAGCTCGCCCGTCTCTTCATTGCTTTCTACATCCGTGGGACCCAAATCATATTCACTGTGTTTTTCCGCGGTAGTCTGTTAATTGCCTTTTTGCATATTGACTTTGGCTTGGTGCACAAAGAGATTTTATTTATTGACTTGGTCACCGAAAAACCTTGTTCCCGTTCCCGCCTCATATTTAGACCTATCAATATGGGTATGAAAATCTTCATTGAGTTACCATTGGGTTTCTGTTTTGTCAATTTCGTTCCCGTAATTTTAATTTAAAAGATGCTCCACGATATGGAAGGTTATTAGTCGAAAATTTTGGAAATTGTCGAGTTTAACCATCATGCGAGCACTGTTTTCCACGCGCTAAGCATTACAACTAATATACAAAGAAGCTTGATGTAAGGGACGTACGGGAGTGCACATCATGAGCCGAATTTCTATCTGTGAATTCCTGCTGAATGGCAAAAAATCACTCCATTTCTGAAGCGGTTGGTGACTGGTAATGAAGAGCGGTAGCAACTTCAAACGAAGACTGTAGTAGTCGAAAGACAGTGAGAGGTACAAACGATCTCCAAGTCAGGATTGACGGTTAGGAAGGCTTTGTTGTGTGTTTGGTGGTATTGGCAAGAAGTCATAAACTCTAAGCCACACTCTTAATTCAAATATGTACCGTCAGCAATGGAAGCGTCTGCAGGAAGCAAGCAGCCAGAAGCGGCCAGCTTTGGCCAAAAGGAGAGATATTGAATTTGATGAGGACAACAGTCACACCTCACTCACTGATAGTGACTCCGAGCTCTTGGCTGTTATGTGCTTGTGCAGCTATCTTATAATCCGGACCTCGCATCAAGTGATTTTCATCTTTTATGTGGTGAATGGTTAGGCTTGTGAATAACTGGCCTCAAGTAAAATGAAAATTGTTTGCCCCAAATTTTTGGCAAATAGGAACTTTCAAATTATTAGAAAGATATCGAGCAAAACCGTACATTTTTGCCATAAATTAGATAATTGCAACTTTAGTAGCTATAATCCAAAATAATGGTTAACTTTTTACTATGCATAAGATATATTTTTTTACTTAAAATATTTAACTTTTTTGCTTTCTTCACATATAATCGGCTTAATTGACAAGGTTGTAAAAATTATGCAACAATCAAATCTGCCATCTCCTCTCCTCTTTAAGCCAACAACCACAAGAGACTTATTCTCAAGGCTAATAGGATTACATTACAATAGCAATTGATATTTATATGTATATACACACAAATGAGTATTTCACAGCAAATAAGCTTAAAGTACGCCAACAAAGAATTAAGAAATGAAATAAAATACCATAAATATAGCGTAATCAAGAAAAACCAAAAGAAATATGTATGTATGTACATCTAGAGTAATCGACACTTAAATTCTTCAATTTCATGTCAAGAGCTGTAATTCAATCAACGGCTTAGTAAAAAGTCTCGAATTTTGAAAAAATGAAAATAATTAAATAAATTAAATTCAATAAAGTTGACTTTGATCTGATCAGCACTATTTTTTTACCACCCTTTTATTCTACTCCAATTTAATTCTTATTTTTGTAGTGTGCATTTTTATTGAAAAAGCTTTTTGCTGAGTTGTGTTTAGCATAAGAGGAGTTTTGTTGAAGGCTTATGTTAAATCCAAAAGCGGATATTGTCAATGTATAAAGTAATTATTAAAATTACGCGTTTTTGATGAAATCATAATTTAATTCTGCAAATTCATTATTTTTCGAATTAAAATAGAATAAAATTTCTTGGAAAAATTTTCTTCAATTTTTATTATAAATTCTACTTCGAGTATTCACATAATTGGAACTTAATCGATGGCCCAACATTCATACACACAGCACAGTGAAAAATCTCAGATATTCTTTTTCAAGTAGCTAGAATAAAATATGTTACTTTGTATACAAAAAACTGGTTGAAAATGTGCATTTCGTTCTTTCATCGAATAATACCATATGAGTCCTTAAGGGGACCCACCCCTGATATTGGACAAAAATCAGGCAAAGTTTATAATTTTTTGTGGGCGAATGAAAAGGCGTATGAACTTCCAGTTTTGACAATTAAACTTATTCCTCATTTGAGATGCTAAAACGGCAAAAAAAAAAAAACGAAATTGAAAATGATGGCTAAAAAATGACGCTTTCCGTCAACCTCTAAGCAAAAAATATGGTCCCCCAACTTCAAGCCAACAGCCTCTTGTAGTAGACTGAAATCAAAAATCGCTGTCATTCCTTGAAGATCATGAAGTTTTCTACGTTCAGAACCTCAATTGAAATAGTTTTAATGATAACAGAAAGTCAAATTTTTTACTACTTTTTTCACTTAATTTACGTTAAAAAATATAAATAATTAAATAGTAATGCTAATCTTAGGTTCAAGACGTAAAAACTACATATATGCTTTGAAACAGTTTTTAGTTAAAATAATTCAAACGAATAGTTTAAGGCTGGGGCTTGAAGTTAGATCGGAACATAAGGTTTCGAGAAAAACGAAATTACAGAAAATTAATTTAAATTTAAATGAAATAAGATAGAAGAGCTGTCTTTGGGCAGTTGCAAATTTCGTACTTTCATTTTTTTAGAATTAAATATTGTTTCTCATAACCGATAATTAAGTTGATGATTTTCAGTATCAATGCTTATTTGTATACGAGTATATGAGTGTATGTTCCTCATAAAATTTTGCGGCTTAGACTAAACTAGGCCTTCAGTTTACTCCAAATTGTTGTTGTTGTTGGAAGAAATATCAAAATGCACATCAAAGATTTCTAAACTCTAATCTCGATTATAATAAATACTTATAACTTGCAATATATGTTCACACATATGATTAAATAGCTTTTCACAAAATTTTCACTTATCTTTACTCACTACAAGAATGAAAAATATATATTTGTTGCGTTTCTTAAACTTTCAAGTACTAATGTTTTTTTTCAACTTGAAAAATTATGACTAGTTTAAGGCGCAATATAACGAATCTCCATCTTGCACTGCAAAGTATTGTACCAAAAGGGGTCTTTATAAGGCGAGTGTTCTTTATTTAAAAACATCATTTTATTAACATCCCCAGAAAGCCTCAAATCGAATAATTAAAAAAATTGTACCGTAATATTTTTTAAAAATTGTGTCATGGTCAATTAGTAATTTTTATTTAAATTTCTTCTATATTTGGAATCATTTTTTTTGTGTAATTATAAAATTTATATGTTATTAAAATGTTTACCAAAGCCACATATGCTCTTATGATGCCACACCCATTCATTATAGGCGTGTATGAAAATATGATACTAAGGTGCTCGAGACACAAAAAATAGTTAGAAATCTGTTTATTTCCTTTTTTTATTTTTTTTTTTATTAATTTTATTTTTTTTTTAATTTTTTTTTATTTGGAAATATACTCTATTTACCAAAAATTTGTTATTTTTATCAAATTTCTTGATAAATTTTTCATTATATTAGTTTTTGTTACCCATTTGCTGCTCATTAACTGACCAAAGCAAATCTATTTTTGAGTGAATTTCTTATCTTCAATGTTGCTTCAGTCTTTCAAGTGCCTACATAATGCTGCGTGTTATTATATTGTTATGATTTTATGCTTACAAGCACTTGAATAATAGTTTATTTTTAATTTTTATACAAACCCATGTACTTATACGACGCTCAAAAAGCTTAAAAATGCAGCCATATACTTGTAAAGCCCTCTGTCAGCACTCGAAACTCTCATTTTCTGGTCAACTGAGTTTGTAATAAATAATTGGTATTAAGCCCGTCGCACATGTCCATACAAAACCATATGTAGACTTCAGTTAAAGATAAAAAAATAATGCAAACAATGAACTTATGAAAGATTAATATATATACAAATGTACGAGTAAATATCGCATTTTCAGCAAACTTTCCCTTCCACTTTAGTTAAAAATAAAATAATCATAATAATTACAGTTTTAATGGCATTTATCGGTCAGTAAGTTGATATTAGAGGGCTTAATGTAAAAGCAGATAATATCAATTACTTCATGCATATAAGTATATATCTAGCTTTAAGCATTAGGGTGGGTGAGAAAATTTTTGTTAGAAATTTTTTACTCTTAACCTTTTTTCTATTATGCCAAACTTGAGTTATGGCGCTAATTATTGCTTCTTTTTTTAAATGATGATAAATAAATTAAAGAAATTTATATTTTATTTAATTTATTAATTATAATTTTTCATATATTTAAATTTTTTTGTTCTTAATTATTATTTTTTATTAATTATTTATTAATTTTAATGGCATTTATCGGTCGGTAAGTTGATATTAGAGGGCTTAATGTAAAAGCAGATAATATCAATTACTTCATGCATATAAGTATATATCTAGCTTTTCTTTTGATAAGCGCATTAAGGTGGGTGAAAAAATTTTTGTTAGAATGTTTTAACTCTTAACCTTTTTTCAATTATGCCAAATTTAAGTTATGACGCTAATTTTTAATTCTCTTTTTATAACTGATGATAAATAAATTAAATAAATTTTTATTTTAATTATATATTTTTTGGTTTTTTTTTTATATTTTAATTTTTCATTCATTTAAATTTTTTTATTCTTAATTTTTATTTTTTATATCTTTCAAATACATGAAATGGTATATTAGTTTTGATCCGAAGTATGTAAGTAGATAGATGAACTGTTATGAACTACCATATGTCGCAACCGTCAGATCGGACCACGATAGCATATGTATGTATGTATGTATTTTTCAGATTAGAGATTTTCGGTCTGAAAATCCGTCAAAACAGCATCTCAGTGCACGAAAATTAGTACTTTACATCTACAAATGAAAGTTGACGTCGAAAGTCATCGAAACCGGTGGACTAAGTCATATAACTCCCATGCAATCGTTTTATTCAGTTATAATGTTTGGGATCCAAAATTCATTCAAAAAGCAAAAAAAATGCGAAATTTAGTATTCTACCCGCGAAAAAGAAAAAAACAATTACACCAGGAAATCAGCGAAATCGAAAAGCTTTATCATATAGCCTCTGTACAACCGATTTTTCAGATAAGAGAATTAATATTTGATGTTAAAATGAAATATAATAAAATAGATTTGGTCATGAAAGGTATAGAAAGACAACTAAATAAAATTGTAATTTTTAAACGAAAGCTTAATTTTTTAAATAACCTAAAATCAATAGAACACCCCTAATTCTTCAAACTTCTTGAAAGTAAATCCCTTCTATCCCAAAATATATTTTAATCATACCTTTTTTGTTTTGCCTTTGCTTGCATTTAAGATACACCTAAATGCATTGTTTTTAATAAAAAGTCATTTTGAAAGCAACAACAATAATAATATTCATTTTATATGGAATGATATCATCAATCTTTAGAAACTCAACAACTTTTGCTTTCATTTAACCCATATCATCGATTGCATGCATTGCGGTACATACATCTGCGCATATATACTTTCATACACACATATATACATATATGTATATGTAAATAAGTAAAGCAGTATGCACATATTTCATTCCCGTAAGCATATCCGCTTACTACAACTTACTATATCAATTGTTTAAAGCCGCATTGTTACTGTTGTTGTTATTGTTCTTGCATGCGCTCGTATGCATGACAGCCAAGAAATAAAACGAAATAAAATGAAATGAAATGAAATTGCACACGAGTAATTCAGTAGAAAAGTGAAAATGAAAGTGACCGCTGGCGAGGCAGCCAGTCAAATAGCCAAGCAGCGCTCAAACTGCATTTATGCTTGTAAATATTTTTGAACTGCGCTTAAGGCGACTTAATATTGCTTTTTTTTCTTTTTTGCATTTTCTGTTTTAAAATTTCAATATTTTTTTTCTTTTGCGTTTTTTTCCTCTCTTTTAATTTGAAGCTTTTTTCTATTTTCTCTCTTTTTCTTTGGATATCTTGCTTTTGTTGTCTTACATCAAGTAGCTCGTTGTCTCGTCACAATTCAATGACCACAGACATCGTGGTGCTTGAGATACACCGTAAGGTACATATGCAAATACATATCTACATATATTTATTTTGTAGCCTTTCTCAGGTGCGCATACAAAAGTCGCAAAGTGCAATCAAAGCTATACAGCTGCACTTATATCTATATTTATATATGTATGTGTATATGTATATAAATGTACTCATACATATGTATGTATTTTTGCAATTGCACTGCGATTCATAAAGTTATCAACATGTACAAATTAGACACGCTAACAATATTTGAACAACATCATTAACAACAACATTTTCATACATATTTACATATGTACATATATATAGAGATTTACAGATTTACAGATTTGTAGTTTTAAATACATATATACATATGTATTGGCTTTAATGGCTATTTACATATTAACCTTGATTACACATAAATCCATCAACACTCTTAAGTAGTTTTTTGCACTTTTCCGTTTTCAATTATTTATGCATTGTTTGTTGTTTTTGTATGTAATGTACAAGCGAAATTTTTCATTTGATTTCAAATTAAATTGGAATTAAATTGGAAAATTATTGCAAATATATGCAAATCGGCAGTTTCAAGTTTACCTATAAGTATTTACGTATCTCCGCATAGTTTATTTGAATTACTTTAATTTTATGCAAATAATTACCACGCACATTCACTGATGGGTAGCGAGAGAGACAGGGAGAGTGAGAGAGAGAGTAAATAATAGTTTACCTATTATATATGATAAATAGCAATTTTCAATGGGTAGGTCATTGCTAGTGAAAATAAAATACACAATGCAACTGAAGAAAATGTAAAATAATGTAAAACATAGGAATTTTTACCATAAAATTTTGAAAAAAAAAAATTTAAATAAATTTTGAATTAAATGTTGAAATTCATTTTTAAAATCAATTTTAAAACAATTTTAAAAATAAAACTTTAAAATTATTTCTTAAAACAAATTGAGGATAATAATTTTTTGAAATGATAAATTTTGAAAACAATAGATAAGTTTTTGAAATCAATTTTAAAAATAAATTTTTTAAAAGGAATTTCAAAAATAAAATTTTGAAAAAAAAATTTTAAAACCTATTTTTAAAATTCTTCAAATACATTTTAAAAATATTTTTTAGAAATAGTTAAATTTTGAAAATAACATTTTGAAATAAGTTTCGAAAATAAAATTTTGAAAAAGTTTCGAAACTGAAATGTTGAAAATAAATTTAAAACAATATATTGGATGAGTGCATAAGTTCGTGCCCGATTTCAAGTGCAAACTAAAATTGAAATTTTTTGAAGAAAGCGCTTTTATTAATCAATTATGCATTCGCCATCATGTTCGGCAATCCACTCCCAACGTTCAACCAATTTACGCACGCCTGATTCATAGAAATCGCGCGGTTTCTCGTTGAAAAACGTGTCAAGGTGATTTTTGACGTCTTCCACATTTTTAAATTTTTTTCCATTCAAATTGTTCTGCAGCGATCGAAACAAATGATAATCAGAAGGTGCAATGTCGNATATGGAGGCAACTGAGTATAAACTGTATGTTCCTCCATTTGTTGGAAAATCATCAAGACGTAAAACCACAAATTGCAGGAGGTGTTCGGCCGAAAATCTTGCTGTCGGAAGCTGATTTAAAATTAGACGAAGAGGATAGTCTGTGTCGATCCTCTGTTCCCGAGTTTTTATCAAGATTTTTTTCATGGTGGGATGAACTGGTCAATTTTAGTCTTTTTTTTTTTTTGTTTTAAGCCACAGTGATAAGATTCAATTAGTTTGTTACCTTGCTGAATATCCTAAAATTTACTTTTCACTCATTGTGCAACACTTAAGTAATTTTTGTAAATTATTTTTCATACTCCTTTTATGTATTTACGCCATTTGGGTTTTGAGAAATATGAACCTGAACTTGAAAAGCCACAAAATGCCTTTTACCTTGGGGAATTTGGCCATAACCATAAACAATTACACACAAAACCCCACAATGGTAGACCGCAATTGCAATTATGGCGGAAAATTCGAATGTCAAAGAAATTATGCAATTGTCTGCAATTTTCGTCTTTTTATTTTACTTTCAAACGGGAATGCGGATGTAAAAACTTTAGTCGTTGGTCACACCTGCGGTGGTTATGTTAAATGCCAATATTAAATCAAGCCAAAACCACAAAAAAAAAACAAATTGGAACAATCAACCAATGGAGCCTTACTACGCTCCAAGAAAACATAATTTTATATGTATAAAGTGGGCATATCTACAAATTTAAGAAAATGTCAGTCATGTGTTAAAACCATAAACTAAATTGTAGCGATACAAGGAAATTCAATGTCTGACATAAAGAAATTAAATAAAATAAAATTAAAAAAAGATTTTTTTTTAATTTCAAACTATTCGCTTGCCGTTTGATTGCGGGCAACTGCGAGAGCATACAAATTAAATTATGTACATACATATGTATGTATGTATGTATGTAGCTCTAAGCCATCGCTTGCATGAAAACACAAGATCAGGTGGTTTTTACTGCATTTTCTTATGTCTAATGTCTAGTGGTGTCCGGTGCATGGGTACGCATATCATTTATGAAATCATTGACTTGCCAGTGGCTGATTATGGCATATGAAACACACACACACACACAAAAATAAAACATAAAAGAAATTAAAAAAAATAATTTTTCTCTCTTTTTGGTCTAAAACTGATTTCCTTTTCGCGGCAATTGATCATTGACAAATTGGTGGGCGTCTTTTGAGAAAATTATAGGAAATCAAATACACTGAGATTACACATTTGATTATCGTAATATATGCAGTGGTATTTCAACAAAATTTCCTGGTATAATTTGACTTGAATTTGACTTAATGAAGTGTAGACTAATTCACTTAATTATTTATTATGCTGAAAGACATTTCGAATAATCACTACCACCATGCGCCCAGCATATTCAGACTCATTATTGAAAATTCTCGCTTGTGTACAAGCGCTGAACATGCTGAGCATGCCAAATCTAATATTTATTTTTTTAATTACCACAAATTACTTGCCAATCATGCTAATCAAGTTCTTTTACTCGCTTGCAGGCCCAACAATGACTCCACAGCAACAACAACGACAAAAAGTGGTATTCACGACCACACCAACACGCACGCTTATTGCCGCCTGCATCTGTGTTTGCTTGTTTGCGCATGCGCAAGCAGCTGACAAATGGTCACGTCAACTGGAACCGACATCACCCGGTATATCGGACTCGTTTGATTGGGTGCCGTTAGCACAGCCGGTGGACAGCTCGACGGCCAAAGATCGTTCGGCAAATGCGCGCGTACTCACCTATTCGCAGGCTTTTCCACCAAATGGACGCTTCGGTGATCTGCCAAAGCCACACAATCCAGCTTCCACGCAACAACAGCGTCAACAGCAGCAGCAACCATTCGATTTTCCATATCAATTTCAGCGTTTCGTAAATCCGCCACCGGCCGCACGTCCACAAGTGGGTTCGCCTTTTGGCACACCACCGAAAGCTGCTTCCGCATTGCAAGGTGGCGAGCCCACTTCGCAGTCCTTCTTCAAATTTGAAATGCCATTCCGTACTGATGGCAGTAATCGTGACCCAGCCGCCGGTCCGGGCTCACTACAGACGGGTTATCAAATTCAGCATACCTTTGGTGGTGGCGCGCAAGCAACACTTTTTAGTTCGCCGCTCTTTAATCAACAACCCGTATTTCCACCAGAATTCCATCCCATACCACAAAAACCTGTACAGCAGTCTTTGCAGAAACCACTGCCACAACAGAATTTCATCGAGGATAGTTTCCCATCTAAGAATATTTACCACGAGTCCAAGCCGAATCCCACGCAGCAATCTCTACAAAGCGTCACACCGCAAGTCTTCCCCGCGGATCCGGAACTGGATCATTTCTTTGATTTGAACAAGCCACAGAGCTCATTCAACGCACCACTGCCCTCATATCAGCAATCCGCGACCGCACCAACGGCACCCTTCCAGCAAACTGCACCTACAGCTCCGTCCTCGGTGCAAAGCAGCAACGCTGGCAGCTCACAAGATGTGCAGTTGTTGTATGTACCATATGATACGCTGTATAACCAACAGAAGCCCGACTCACAGGCTTTCGAGGTGAACAAGTATAATGTCAACCCTTTGCCGACGGTTAACCCATTCCAAATCAATCAATTCTATACACAAGATACACTAGGCTCACTCGACCAACAGAATTACTTTACACCAACCACAAGCACGAGCACAAGTCGTCCCAAAACTACGACCCTTAAGCCAACTACTATTTTCCAGAACTTTGCTAACCCTCAGCAACAACAACTCACCACACCCCGTCCAAAACCAAAGGCACATCAACCCCCGCTCGCCATGTTCTTAGTACGCAATACGGCACGACCCACACAATCGGATGTTGTGTCCGCTTTACGTCACTCCAATACCATTTCCGTGGTTGATGCACCTACCAAGAAGATTCCAGAGATATTTGTCGGCCCCGCTGGCATGTCTACCCCAGATGGCTACGTTAAGTTTGATCTACCTTATTTGTCGCAGCTCACACAGACACGTGAGTTGCGTGAGATACCATTTTTTGTGGCACCACTGAGTTACCGTACACCAAGCGGTTTCAATAAGATTCTCTTGCCCGAACCCCATGTGGGCTCCATTGTGATTAATCTCGCTAAAAGTGGCAGCTCGACTCAGGAACAGATTATCAGTCAACCGGCTAAGCCAAACGTTGTTTATAGCCAAAATGATATCAATCAATATCAGCCACCTCAACCCACCCAGCGAGTTCGCCCGCAACGTGTGAAGCAGCCCGCGGCCACAAAAGATTATTACCCTGCTTTAAATGAGCCGTTGCAAAAGAATCGCGATCAATTCGAGGTTACGACACAACGTGCAACGTTGGCCCCAACACGCGGCAACAAATTCAACTACTTTTATAACCAAGATGCTATACATGAGATAAGCTCACCAAAGGTTACCAAACATGATCGCCCGAAGAAGAAGCGCCCACAGCACGTGCAACAACAGCAACCCATTGAACAACCAGCTTTCACGCAAACCATAAATAATCCATATGCTCAATTCCAACCACAACCCAACCAGATAATCAACGACGACATCTATAAGGTGCAACCTAACCGTCCTGCACCGATCGCTTCGTCGACCAGCAAGACGACTACCACCACTAGCACAACTTCAACGACTGCAGCGCCAGCGCACACCTTCTTCACATTTAATCCCAACGGACAACTTGAGTATCAAAATACTAACGGCCCCCTCTACTCTTTTGGCGATCTACCAAAGGAACCAGTTGAGGAGCAATTACCACGCTTTACCACACGTCCACCTACGAGCACTACACCAGAGGAGGAATATCGTATGAAACAATATTTCCGTCAACAAGAGGCTTTCCGTAATCGCCCGCAAATAGTAAACCCAACTAATCCACCCTTCGAGCAGGTACAATACACGCCTGTTGACTTGGACTACGAACGCGGAGCCAATGCACCTTCAACGACTCATAAGACTACTTCGACTACCAAGCAACGTGTCACATTCTATTCGCCATCTCAAACAGGTGTATCTGCGCCCGAAGATGCTTATAATGTGGTATCACCACAGCAGGCTGAACTGACTCAACTACAGCGAGAGAAGGACATACAAACTGAATTGAAATCTCACCGTCAGCAGGCATCGAATCAACGTCCTTTATACAACCAGAATGAGATACCCGACAGTACCGTGGAGTATGAGCCCAATCCATATCATGTGCCGTCGGAACTGCCACCACTAACACCCAATCTGCCAGGTCTAGTGAATAATTTGCAAGAAAAGGACAAACAAAATGCTGTAAGCGAACTTGCAACCACAACACCGAATCAGCCAGTCGAAGAGTTACCTACGCGCCCGACGAGACGTCCAATCAATCGTATTCGCAAACCAGTCGTAACATCATCGGTTTCCTACTCTGAAGGGGAGACGTCCACACGTCGCCCCACCCAGCGTGTGCGTCGCCCATTTGGCGCACGTGCAACAACCGCAAGTCCTGATGTTGAAGGTGAAGTCACATCAACAACACGCCGTCCATCGTCAGCCGCACGCAACCCATTAATACGTAATCCCAATCGCATACGTTACCAACCCACGCCAGAGGAACGACAGTCGTTGCGCACGAAGCAGCGTAAGAAGTATGGCAACTCTGGCAAAGATGAAGATTTGGACTACCAACGCGATGTGTTGAATCAAAATTATCCAGTCATAAAACCATTATCATCACGCACGCCGTCGAGCCCCACCGCAATACCAAGCTCATATGCAGCAAATATTGGCTCTGAAGCACCTACCTCGGAGACCCAGCAGGTGTATACCGTGACACCGAGTAATACCGTGGAAACAAATGAACAGACCTTCCCTGCCGGCATGTTAGAACCAATGCAAATCGCCCAACAGTATAGTCAGTATACCAAGGACAACTTTGGTCCGGGTTATTTCCCTAATCAGGAAGATTTAAGTCCCACAGAACCGATTATACGTAATGAGATTAATCCGGTGTTCACTACTTTGCCAAGCTCCACTAGTACTACCACTACCACATCAACCACTACGACAACAACTGAGGAACCAGAAGTAACCACAAGACGTTCACCATTCATACGCAGAAACTATCCACGTTTACGCACCACAACTACCGAAACGCCAACCACATCTACCCCAGAAACAGAGACGAAATCATCGGTGAGTAAGAAAACAGAGGGAGTGATCTAACTTAACATTACATTTATACCTTATTCTCTCTCAGTTACGGCCACGCATACCACCACGTAAGGTGATCAAGGTACGGGCACGCACACGACGCCCACTGACACAGGCTTCAACCACAAGTAATCCAGAGGAAGAAGGCGAGGTCGAAGAGCCCAAAACCAACCTCCGCAAAATAAATCGTTTCAATCATGATTTGTATGAAAATGACGTGAGTGGTCATAGAGTTACTTTTTCTTAATTAATTTAGAAAACAATTATCCAAATATTTTATATAAAAGGCCACACCACCACAGCGACGCCGACAAAGACCGACCTTCCAGCTGGATGGTCAAGAGTCGCAATGGTCGCCAGCATTGAAATTTGGCAGTAATCATCACTTCAAACCGACAAATCCCAAGGAGCAGAAGAAAGAGAATGATCACAAGTTCGAGGATGAGCCTGAAATTGTAACCGTTGGACCTGAGGATAGTAAGAATGCGGATAATTATGAAGTGAAGGTATCCGCCAATCTTGGAGAGGCAAAGCCAACACTTAAGGCGCCCAATTTAAAGTAAGTAGATATGAGAAAGACTTGTCGACCATGTAACTTAACGCTACTTCTCACAGGCCCGAAAAATCGTTTGCCGAACTTTTGGAAGAAGTCATGGGCAAGGCACCGGAGGAGAAACCACTCGAATCAGACGAGGAGACCACCCAGCGCACCACAGATGGCACATTCTTTGAATCGCAGAAAACAACGATATTCAATCGCATCAATCGGCGCAACAAATTCAAAAAACTCAAATTGCCAACCGCACAAAACAATGAAAGTTTCGAGACAGCCGAATCGCAAGGACTTGGCTCCCAACTCTACAATTCTCTCTACAATCAGGATAAGTCCACAGATGAATTAGTTAAGGAACTCAAGACGACCACACCACTAACGCCACTGCCGACTACACTTACCACAACGCCCAGCCCTGTGAGCACACAGGCCAACACTGAACCGACAACTGCCGAACAGCTAGAAGTTACATCCTTTGCAACGACGCTCGCCATCGATGAAGCCATTGACAAAACTACCGTTGCACCGGCAGAGCAAGATGCTGAAGGAGTGACTGTTGAGAGCGCCACGCGACGCATGGATGAAGCTGTCGATGATTTAGAATCGCAGCCCAGTATTTTCTCCGAAGTCAAACGCCAACTACATGATCTATTCGCCATCGACGAGTCGGAGGATCATGCGGTAACTGCAGCTTTGGCGGCAGTTGGCAAGCGACGACAAGAGTACATGAATATTAAACGCACCAAAGCCGATACAACTACACAGGCGATGAATGCCGAAGTGACGGCAACTACAGAGCCAACGCCGACTGTGAAGGGCGCAGCAGCAGACGGTAAAGCTAAGAAAAACCTGATGGATCAAGTCGTCTATGCGACATCCACATCGATGAAGGTAACTTCCGAAACGGAGATTTGCTATCGCGGACGTTGTATACGCTCCGAGGATTTGCCGGCGAATCATAAATTGAATTGATGAGAAAGGAAGATATAAGAAGGAAGGCAGAAAGGAAGCTTAAGAAATCATAGATTTGAGTGTACATATTCGAAATTTATTGAATGCGAGTTGCTCGAAATCGTGGGCGTACAGAGAGGAGATTGTGATAATTTGAAGAAAAGAGCAATGCTGAAAAATTAAAATTTTATTAACTACACTATCTGCACTAAAAACATATGTTAACATATTTTGGGTATTCTTAATAACAGTATATTATCTTAGTAAATATATTCAAATGTATGTTGTAGTTACACTGTAGATTTTTCTGAAGTTTTCCTCTTTTCCAGTGCGCGCTGTCTCTGTCAATCTATTCGTAAGTTAGTTTTTAGATTTTTTAATATAATTTTACGAAAATCTAGTTTAATTTCTATTGGAAATGATAAAACAAAAACCTGTGACGCGTCCAGCATGTTTTTGTATCATTCACATTTATATTACGTATTTTAAGTTAAATTTTAATTATAAAAAAAGAAAGTTGTAATACAGTTTTATTATAATTAAATAAAATGACAAACGAAACGAATTATTTTATATATTTCGAATAATCGTATATACATATACGTATGTAGCCACAGAAACATTTAAACAATATATAACAATGTTAATATATTTAATACATATTTGAAAATTCTATTGAGTAATTTAGAAAGCGAATTAATATTGTAAGTCTGTAATATATTTAAATTAAAAAAAAAAAAATAAACTTATATTAAAAATAAATCAATTCTAAATTTATTCCACTTCTGAATTAGATATTTTAGGAAATTTTTGGCGGTCGCCAGGGTTGTATGGCAGGGTTTGAGTCCTCCTGATTCGAGCAACATCCAAAATAATAGAAAATTAATTGTTGTAATTGCGGTCGCCCCTCGACAGGTAATGTCAACCCTTCTGACATGTAATTAAGGCTCCTCATATAAAAACATCGGCCGCTCGGTGGTGGCTTAGAATAAACTGTGGGTCCCTCCGTTTTGTTGGAAAAACATCAAGACGCATACCGCAAATCGGATGAGGAGTTTAACCGAAAATCGCTTCAACAGCTTTAAAGTGCCAATTACCAATATATTACATAAAACTATACTATACCTTTTGCCAGGCGAAAGTCTTCACGGTTAGAATAGGTGCTGATATAGCTAACAACGCAGAAAACCACATAATAAATATCAATAAGTTCGTCGATATCCAAGTCGGCAATTATGGCAGTAACCTTAAATGCATCAAAGAATGCCCTTTCTAGCAGAGTGGTGGTAGATGTGGCTGCTGCAAGAAAGTGGTGACATATATACTGGGTTTCTGGTTACAAGGGCGTTCCAGGAAGCGGTTGTCAAAAGTGTGACCGTCTGGCTACCGAAACAATACAGAAAATACGCAAGTCGCTAAAAATAATGAGCAGCAAATTTAACGTTTGGCCGACATGCGGATCAGTATAAAATGAAATGTCTTAACTACATTTAGGATCGCCAACATCATGTGGAACAGGCAACAAAGGAAAACAAGCATATTGTTTGTCCACATGGACTAAAAAGGCTTGCAGGTCATAACCTACTGGCATCAAACGCGAGATGAATCGTCAACAGTAACGATGACACATGCAGGAAATACAGGGAAGAAGGCATGAGTGAGACGTTGGAACATCTCGCCTGATCCTGTCCGACCTTGTGAAGATTTCTTATGAAATTTTTAGGATCTTCGCAATTCAAGGGACTAGATGAAGTATGTAAATCAGATATTAAGGCTCTCTTAAACTTCAGAAAAAGCGTTGACGTTCTGTACGGCGACTACTTCAACTCGAACTAATTTTAGAATCTCAGATATCTGTTGCGGATGTTGATTATCATTCCTAATTCAAGCTGATATGTCTTTCGATCTCGTCCAATCTCAGATGAGCGTAAATGTAGGTATTGTAAGTACGTTCTAGACAGACTAAAACATTTACAACTTCGAAGTTTTTATGAAGTTGATGACAGAAATACTGCTTCCTTTATCCAGAATCCAATTTTAGGTTGTAGAATAGGCACGGAGAAAAAGAGAACTTTTAGTGTTGCTTAGCGTTCCTTTGCTCAGTTGTTTCAGATTTACAGCTACACGGATTTCAGAGACAGAAGTATTGGACCGTGGTAGTGGGTAGGGGTGCAGAATGTACAGCCGTGAAGGCTTTGGGCGCAGTTGATCGCTGATAGCAAAAGGATACATGGGGATACAAGACGCCTGTTGAAATGTAATAACGGTGGAGTCGTCAATGGCACCGCACCAATCCTCGGACTAGGATTGGAATCAACGGACTTATTATAAGGTTTTAAAGAATAACAGGGTTTTTAAATTTCATCACGAGGAAGTGAATGCCTGGATGCTCAGGTATTGCAGGCGAAAGTATCTCATGGTGAACACCATTTGCATGCTTAACGTGTGAATAAATATACTACCCGGTAGTAGCCAATATTTATAACAGAGCTGTCAAATTTACGGGCTTCTCATGGTGAATTCGCCTTGGGGCTTGCGAAATCGAAGTTGGCTTGGAAATAAGAGCTGAGAAAGTTCGGGTTTTAGTGCCAGCAACTTCGGCAATTGGGAAATTAATTTCACTTTTTTCCAGTCAAGTACAGTCAATAGTTCGGCAACGTAACCTGAAATATTTTAGGTTATGTATGCTTAATTACTGTAACTGATTCCAAATAACAAGAGAAGTTAATTAATGTTTAAAGTAATGAAAATCCATACTATTACGTAGAATTTATGTTCTACTCGGCAGAGATTCGACGCTTCAGAAACTATTATTTCAACTTAACTAACTTTAGAGAAATGGTGTTGTTTTTAAAATACTTTATGTATGTATGTAGGTCGGGTATTTTTTTTCGAAACCATTATAATGATAACAGCTTTGTCAATATTTTCCTTTTCTAGCCGCACAGCCAAAATAGGTTAAATTTTCTTTATTTATTTATTTATTCAATAATTTTTATAATTTAATAAAGACACTTTATTACATTGACATACATACAGAGAGCAATAATTCTTAAAGCCACTTAAATAAGCATACACATATGAACGGATTTCGAATAATTTTAAAATGTTTAGCAAAATATCAAATAATTATTTAATAAATTTTTATAATACATATTTAAATGCCGATTAGTATATATATATATATATATATTATATATCTATTATATATCTACATATATATATATATATTTATTTATGTTTATATGCTTTTATAAAAATTAAATTGCTATAAACTATATATTTTATTTTTGTTGGTCTTTTTGAATGAATTAAAGAACAGTAAACGATGAATGACTTCATATCATACAATTCATATTCACTTTCGAACCTATATATTTATGTATGTATAATTGATTTTCGAGCTTAAAATTAATTTGAGATTGAATGTACATAGGTACTTTTAGAAAATATAATTTCGTTTGTGTGTATATTTATGTATATATATATATGTTTTACCTAAGTTACCTAAATTCAAGTCATAACATATCGTGACCACTTTTCTTCAATACATGCAACGGGAAGGTATATTTTGTGTACACAAAGAAACAAGTTTGATAACTATGAAATTATTTGTTATTAAAAATTATTTATCTAAAAGCATACATGCATGTAAAGAGAGTAAAAGTGGTGGTTTTATGGTGCAGCATTGCGATTTAACGGCGCCGTCTCGTCATCGGTATGCTCTTGAGCCTCATCGCTGCTTGGCGCGACGTTGGTGCTTCTGTTCTCAGCATTTGTTGTTTGTCCTTGCGGAAAATTCCATTTTTGCGGACTCGTACGGCCAAAGATAAGGAAAAATAGATTACCGACAAAGTAGAAAAATGCGCTTACATAGAACACAATACGCCATTGTGTGGGATTTTCCTATAAACATTAAGAACAAACACATTATTTATTGCATATACACACATATACATATTAAAAATCAGGCTTACTAACCTCATCTGTTACAATAAGTCCGACTGTGAGCGGTGCTATTATGCTTATCACATTTGCCACACAATTCGTAATGCCCATTAGAGTGCCAGCAAAATTTGGTGCTAAATCAATATGATTGACTTGGAAACCCAAATAGGTGGCCGCATTAGCGCCGACTGCTATAGTCAATAGTGTGATAGCCAATTTAACACTGCCACCAGCATTTATATAGCCCAAACCAATCAAAGCCACCATTGGCACCCATTGACCGATGGTGTTGAAGAATTTACGCGATACCCATAAGCGTGTCGTATATCGTGCATTTATAAAATCACCCAAAAAGATGAAAACATATGACAGTAGACACATCGCAAGGTAAGGTAGCGCAGATAGTGGACCGTTGCTACGTATATCTACACCTAAAATGCTCTTCATGTATGTCGGTATCTCGGTGAGCAAAGTCCAAAAACCCCAATTATTTGATAAATGCACAAATATCAAGGTGAGAAAAGGTCCCGATGTGAAAATGTGTGACCAGGGTAATTTGTGTGCTGGTGCTTGTGCACTGCCAGAAGTACGCCCAGCATCTGAGGGACGACGCGTTTGTCCGGATGATTCAATATAACGTAATTCTGCTACACTAATCGATGGATGTTCAGCTGGTGTGCTAGCGCTGAGGTATAACCAAACGAATGACCATGAAATGCCAACAATACCGGAGAGATAGAATATGCTGGGCCAACCAAGCCGTGAAGAGGCTATATAACCGCTAACAGAAAGCATTACGACCGTACCAAATTGTGCGCCCGAATAGCAATAGCTTACTAGACGTCCACGTTCTTCGGCTGGTGCCCATTTCGAGAGGAATGTGTGCGTCGATGGAAAGATCATGCCTTGCGATAGACCTTGTGCAGCACGCAGCGCTAACACTAGCGGCCAATCGCCTATTTTGGCACAGAGCGGTGTCAATATAGCGAGTGTAGAGCATATGAATACACCAAAAAAGAACGTGTACTTTGCACCGTAATGATGAGCCATATAGCCACCGGGTACTTGTGTCACTACATAGCCCCAAAAGAAGCTGCTGAGTAGATAGGATTTAATGCCCTCATCCCAGTTGTACTCCTAAGTGAGGTGAAACGGAAAATAAGTGTTTTGAGAGTTTGGGCTAAAAAACGCTTAAAATAATATAATTATGTATGTACATACACATATATATATACGCGCTTATACGAAAAATATATACTATAATTATATTTCTCCTTTAATTATAATTTTTTCATTCAAATACTCTTACAAGTTTATGTGTTTGCTCGTGATAAATATTTACATTTTCTGTTTTTCGCCAACCCATGCATAATCTAAAATACACAATTCTTGCAATGTATCTGTGAATATGCCTGTGCGTACAAACAATTGTAAAGTACTCGCTATGATTATATTACATTAAACCTTATACATATATATATATATATATATATATATATATATATATGCATGCATGGATATATGTTTGTGCAGATATTATCAACTTTTTCAATAATAGCCATAAATTTCAAAAATTCCCTCAATCAACAATATGTCATATCTTTTGCACACATAAATGAATATAATAAAGTTGATAAATTAATGAGGTAGATGCCTATACATACATGCATGTATGTCTGCATTTTCGAAAACCCGGTTTCTGTACATAAGACACTACACTGATAAATTTCAGTGATGACGCATTAGACCGATACCAGCATAAACAATAAGGCAATAAATTAAGTGTTACTTTACTTTTAATAACATTCAATAAATATACCAATTAGCACACCCACCACATAGTAGAATAATGTTAAATGCATTAGCATAGTGCCAAATAATAAATGCAACAAAAGTAATAGTTTTGGAATGGCTACTCACATCGAATGCCGGATTTGTGTGGTTTTTATCTGTCATCGCAACAATAGCTACAGAGAGATTCACACGCAAAGAGTAGGCCACTGCCAAGCCACAAAAAGCAAGGAAGCATTGAAGATGACGTATACCAAAACGTGGACCTAAGTAAAAGAAATGTAGAAAGTTGAATAATTTAATTATTACATAGCACACACAAACAAACATATGTAGATAATAATTTACCTTGACGGGCAGCATCTATTTGCTGGTAGCCCCCATTGAAGCAATCGCACCAAAAAGCCATTTTAATACCAAATTACATATGTTTGCAGAGATATACGCAAAGCTTGAACATGTATGTATGTATGTATGTCTACACGCCCACTTAAGAATTTTTCCAAAATCTTGATGCTACCTTGTATTGAATGGCAATTTTTTTTTTCAATTTTTCTAAGTGAAACTCAAAAATATCCCATTGGTTCTGCGATAAGAATTTGATGCGTTTGCACTTTTCCGCTCAGTTCAAATTATACACAATATATCACACTGCATCGCTCTTCTAAATGAAGTTTTTTGTATACGTTTCAAAATGCGTCAACAAAGAATAGATGATAACAATATAATAGTAAGTAATTTGTAATCGTTGGCTATAAAGGAATGAAATAAACAAAACGATTTCCGAAAACAGCTGTTTGAAATTTGTGCTGCCACTTCTAATGAAAAAATAATTGTTACAGTTATCGATATATATCGATTGATGAAGCAAAGAGAAGGGATATTCATTTTTCCAGTGAATTAAAACCAATTGACAAGTTTTAGTCTCAATTGGAAATTAATGTACAGTTTTCTTTTCAAATATTTTGTAATGGCTTTTATTAATTTTATAAATTTCAAAGAATTCATTTGAAATTTGTTTCATATGCACTTACTTATTGTTACGATTTTACTAAATCAACCTCGATTATTTTCTAGATCCTTCGGGTACGATCTCTGGATTGTTAAATAAAAACTCGCCAACTTAATTTGCAGTTTCTTTCGTATAAAGAATTAATCTAATGTCCTTTATTTTCTCAGTAATTCACAATTCAATTACAATGCACTTTACTATTTATAATCACTAACATCAACTTTCACAATTTCCTCTACTTAAATGTAATTCCCAACGCGTTCACTTTACGTCTTCACTGATGTTAACGCCAACCAATTTGCTTTGTCACTGCTTGACTTGCAGCTGAGTGTCGCCTTTATATAGCAGTCGGCTGCTCGCAGACGAAAGCGTAGAAGCATCGAATTGTTCGCTATGGAAGGTTCTTGTTTTATCGTACTAGTTATCGGCTTCTCTCTTTCATCTGACATTCGCCTCGCATTTTCGCAACATTATATTTACAAAGTCACTAAATACTGTGGGTACAGCGAAGCTCGCTAAGAAAAATGAGTGAAAAATTTGAGCGAATTCGCGTTATTTCCTTATAAGCAGAACTGGCGATAACGAATGGACAAGAAACGAATTGTTCAATCTTTCATGCTGCTAAATAATATTAAGTATTTACTATTTTATGTTGCGACTATTAAGCGCTGGTGGAACAATTCATTAAAAAAAATATTCTTGGCTTATTATGGCACTATTACCGCGAATAATTGAAAACATACAAAAAAAAACGGGCAGCAAATATACTGCCAACCAAAGAACATGCTTACTTATCGATAAGCCGATTAGTTCATTAATGTAGTGCTTATTGAATAGCTTGTGGAATAAAGTCCTATTTATCGGATTGTGACTGGCTATTACAGTGCCACGCAAACTGTCGCATAGTTTCCGGGAGATACACAAATTTCTTTCAGTTAATTTGTTTTTCCATTCCGTTTGAGAATAAATAAATCTTAATGTATGCAAAATGTCGTAAAGTGTTCGTGTAAAAAACAAGTTCGAAATTTCTCCCTTCAATTTCAGCAATATCTAATTATTTCAATAGAAATTTTATTTCACCAAGTGCCTAAGTGCAAATATATTGTATATTAGCAGTGGCAGCACGACTGTTGGCTAGCGGAAACGAATTGTAATTCGTTGCGTTCATAAGCTTGCAATGTTTAATTTGTGAGAACGCAAAGCTGTTTAATAAAAACTTAAAACATTCAATAAGTGAATTAAATGTTATATTTTCTTAATATGTGCGCCTAATGAATATAAACATCCGCATATATTTGTTTGTATGCATGCATATTTACAGTGACAGCATCGTGGTTGGGGTTTTAAAAGAAGTGAGATCCAATCGCTCCTCTGAAGCAAAAAGCGCACCAGGCAGTAAGTTTTTTTGTGTATCTTTTCAAATATTTGTGGAGCCCCAAATGCGACGTATCCCCTGAGTGATAAAGTGACCTTGTCGCTTACGGAAATTGTGTTCGAAAAATTGCCTCCACTGCTTGTTCAAGCATCCAATCGATGTATGCATGGCGTTGTGATTGGCCACTTGCCTTCACATCTTGTGTGAGCTGGATTTTATATGGGTGTAAGTGTAAATCTAAGTGCAAAATATGCCGCAACAAAGTGATATTAGAGGTAGAATGAGCAAAAAAAGGCCTTATAATCTCTGTAATCAATCGTTATGCTTCAAAATTCTTTATAAATTTGTCAATTGCTTGAGTAGTAGGACGATTTGTTAAAAGTACCAACCATAATCTCCTCTTAAAACCGTTGTCAAAATAGTGTTATGTACTTTTGAAACCATGAAATTGGTAAACCTATGTATAATATTATAAGAATTATATTGAATATGAAAACTTAAGTCTACATAATCAAAATATTAATATCGTAAGATATAAACGTGAATTATTGTGTGAAAAAAGTGCGACTAATTGCATTATATTTTATCTTTAGAATAAAATGATAATACTTTGAATCCCACATTAGCTCCACGCTTTTTTTTTATTTTTCTTTAATTCCTCATACTCCTCTTAAACCGCTAAATTAAATTAGAAGTTCATTTCATGCTAAAAAAAAAATAAAACGCAAAAACTTATATGTTTTTAATTATATTATTTTTGGTTTTATCATTGGACTTTCATTCCAGTTTTCCTAGTATCATTATTTAATATATTTTTTTTTCTGGTATATAATATAAATATTTTCAAATTCTTTCTTTTTCTTAAACTAGTTGTATGTATATAAAATTCATTTGATTTATTTCTTATATAAAAAATTAGTTTAGAAAATAAAAGTAACAATTACACAACGTCTACGGTCCAATGTAACAACTTAAAATTAAGTCGAAAAAACTTCAGCCAAATTGCAGCGACAGAAATTATCTGAAAAATATTGCAAACTTAAGTGCTCGTCAAAGTCAAGTCCTGAGACAAGTTCAATAACTTATGTGCAAAATCACTCGAATGTTTAGTGAATTTGTTGCTGTTTGAGTGATAAATTTTAGCTTTACGATCAGACAATCGCATACTTGAAGAAAGGCACAAGTTGTATATTATATACTCGTACATACGTACATGGCGTATATTAGTTGTGTAATGCAGAGATAGTACAGATGCCGTAATTATAATGAAAACAAAAAAATCTATACTTCAAAATTCCACTTGGCAAATAAACAAATCAATCAATATTTTAATTTAATTAAATATGAAAATAAATAGTCATTGTATACTCTAAGCTTTAATGTGATGTAATTTGATTTCATTATTGCATTTTATTTGAAAAAAAACGTAAAAACTATCAATAGTATAATATTATCACTGTTATCGCTACTTGACAACATTCTCTCGCTCAACACTTTCATCAAAGCTACTTTCGCCAATTGTTCACCGAATTTCATGGATTTCCATATTACAAATTACACACATTTTATTTAAATACTGTATACAAAATTTAATTAAAAATTTCTTAGTCTTAATTTAATTGTAACTAATATTAAGTGTTTTTTTTTTTAATTGTTGCACTAAAATTTTTCATTAAAAATATAATATCGTTAGCGTGTGTATGTTTGTTTATGACTTTTTTCTTTATTTATTTTTGCCTGATTTTAATGCGCTTGCATTTGGAAGCACTGTTGTGACTTGATATGTATTTCTATTAATATTTTTTTTTTTCATTTGGCTTTACAGCGCTATTTAAGGACATTTCGATATTCGTGACTGAGTTACTAGCATATGTATGTACAAAGCGTTATAGAGCGTTTCATTGTCTTAACTCTTGAACGCATTCCATTTAGATTATATAATATACCTATTGTCTACTATGTATAGTACATAACTACTTAAAAATTTAAAAATATATAAATTATTTTATCGCAGGACGCACGTGCAAATGCATTTAATTGCAAACAAAAACAACAATGTGGTGCATTGCACACGACACGAACAACCGGAATCATTCATAAGAGCCTTAACATACATACATTATATTCTATCAACTAGGAGGTCTTCTGTGTGCTTAATGAACTACAACTACAAGTAAAGGACCAACGTGTCCTTGCGAACGCTTTGTTCTATTGCTTGCCAATCTCTGTGATTGTTACCTTTTTCGCATCGCCGTTCAGTAGTAACGCAGGTGATTCTGCGTCCACCACATTCAAACGTTTGGCTAAGGCATCTTCAGGCGAGTTCCAACTTTGCACTTCGGTTTTACCAAATATGACAAAGAGCAAGTTACCGAAGAAGTAAAAACCAGCAGCGATGAAGAACACAATACGCCACTCGATCACATTTGTCTGCGAGGAGAGAGAGAGAGAGAGAGAGATCTTCGTTAAAATATTCAATTTAATCAACTGTAGTGTATGAAGAACTTACCACATCGGTGACAACTAGACCAACAGCTAGTGGTGCCAAGGCGCTCATTACATTCGCCGAACCATTAGTGATGCCCATCAGAGTGCCGGCATAGTTTGGTGATAGATCGATGTGATTCACTTGGAAGCCTAGATATGTTGCAGCGCTAATGCCCACCGTGAGTGTAAGCAACACAACTGCGAGCATTGCATGTGCTTGCGTAACATAGCCGAGGCCGATGAGTGAGATCATTGGTATCCAGTGTCCGATGGAATTGAAGAATTTGCGGTTAAATGATAGCGATACGTTTTCACGGCGTGCCAACACTTTCGATAGATAGATGAAGAAGAAACTCAGCAGGCACATAACGGCATAGGGCAGTGACGATAATAAGGCACTATTCTTCATATCCACTCCAAGTATATTTTTCATGTAGGTGGGAATTTGTGTCAACAACGTCCAGAAGCCCCACATATGTGTGCAATGTACGATAATCAATGATAAGAATGCTGGTGAGGTGAAGATCTTTGTCCACGGTGTTGGCCCTACTGTTCGTGGTGTTGAATCAACTTGGCCCAAAGAGTTTTCAATGAATTTACGCTCTTCCAGTGAGATTGTTTTGTGTTCTGCTGGTGTACTAGCCGAAAATAGGAACCATGAAATACCCCAAAGGACACCCAAACCGCCGGAGATGTAAAAAATACCAGGCCAACCGAGTGCTGATTCAGCTATTACACCGCTTATAGCCAATATGACAACGGTGCCGAATTGTGAGCCGGAATAACAGAATGTACTTAATGCGCCACGTTCCTCGACGGGCGACCATTTAGCTAGCATAGCGTGTGTCGCCGGATGTACTGAGCCCTGCAGCAGACCTTGAACAACACGTAAAGCGAAGAGCAATTGCCAACCGCCAAATTCAACAGCCAAAGGGGTGAGTAGTGTCAGTATGGAGCAGAGCGTAATGCCTATTAAGAGCAAATTTTTCGCACCATACTTTTGGGCAATATGTCCACCGGGTATTTGTGTTATGATGTAGCCCCAGAAGAAACTGCTCAACACATACGACTTGGTGCCTTCATTCCAATCATAGACCTGAAATAAAAAATATGATAAGTTATTTAATCTATTTTTTACAGAATGAAAATAAGGAGTTTAATAAAGGGTTTCAATGTATGTTAAGAAGGAAAGAACTTGGTTATTAACATACTTATTTTGGAAAATTTTAAAGAAATCTCAAGCATGTCATTGTGCTATTAAAAAGATCATGAATACTTTCAACGAATGTGAGATTTTCCACGAAACTACTTTTAATTTTTTTTTTTTTTTATTATTCTTTCTTTCCCTCACAGCTTGTTATGTCCATAAAGTGAAACATTGCTAAGTATTGAATGATTCAGAAGTGGAATAAAATTTGAGAATGTACATTAAATTACAGATAATTTTTCCTTACGCGACTGTTACTTCTTTTAGAGATGAGTTTTAACTTCCTAATCTTCCTTCGTTAACTCTCTTTCTTTTGCGCACAATAATCACTCACCTTAAGATCACCATTCGTGGAATTCCGATCCGTCATAGCAACAATGGCCACGCTGAGGTTGACGCGCAACGCGTAGCATATTGAAAGACAGCAGAAACACAGGAAACATTGTATATGTCGGGTCCCGATAATGGGTGCTGTAAAGACAAAAAATATGTGAAATTAGTATTTAAGTTTGTATACATATTCATATATTATCACTGAAAAAATTGTTTATTATATATATAATATATAATGTAAAAAGCGAAAGAGATTGTTGATGGTGTGATTACGAGCTTCAGTTGAGCAAAGTATAAGCGCACAGCACACAACATATGAAAGGCTTCAAAAACAGCCCTGAAAGTTGAATGTATTTATGCACAAAAGAATACACGTATGTGTCTTTAGCACTGATTAGAGTAAGCTATGGTTACATGGAATGATTTATTTCATTAAATGCTGAAATTTAAAGTCACAGTAGGTCCCACCGGTGCCTATGCACTTTCAAATCATTTGTTCACTGATTAATTAAATTTAAGGATTCTTGTTTTACTTCTTAAAATTTTTAATTTTTATTTTACTTGCTACGTACTTTTCAACTGCATAATAATCTATTGAATTAACTTTTTATAAATCAATAATTTGAATTTATTTTCTATTGCCGAAATATCGTCGCGCTGGCTGTATGCACAAAATAAGACTGGCTAGGCAATGGAGCGCTGTCCAGCGTTTAAAGGAAAGTTTTCACTTTCGTCTAGTGCATACTTGTGTATGCATGTGTACAATCAAAATGTTTGTAAAAATCTATGCATACACAAGTATGTATGTATGTATGTCTTCAAGTGCGTGCACCTACTCTAATAGCTCGTACTCTTAAATGTCATTTACGAGCGCACTTGAGACACATATATTTATATAAGATGTTTATGTATGAAGAGTATGCACTTGTACATATGTATTATATATACTTGTATGTACATATGTATGTGTGTGTGTATGTAAGTTTGTATCCTACCGCTTGTTGCAACCATCACTCAAACCTACTTATTTATGGGTGATTAGCGAACTGTTTCTTTCAGCCGTAAATATATTTGCGATAGACAAATATTTTAAATATTATAGAAATCTTCTTGTATACATATGTACATATTGTATATGTAGGAGTATCTGAAGTGATCAACAGAGATGGACAAGTTGTCATAACGGCACGCAGTGAGCAGGTAATTCTGACAGTTTGATAAATATGTAAACATACTAAATATGTCTACATATGTATACACATACATATGTATGTACGGTTAAATGCATTGTTTGGTTGCAAGAACGTGAGAAGTCGACCGTTCAGTTACCTCAAGACAAAACCGCGGTATTCATTTGGTAGCGGTGATGATATCACTTAGCAAAGAAATGAGCTAAGCTAAAATAACTGTGAACAGAAAACCTCCTTTTGTAAAGCATTTATGTGTGTATGTATGTGTGAATGTATGTGCATATATCCTTAATATTGTTTATTGTATATATGTATATGTACATATTCTTTATGTCGTTATCCTTCTAGTTAATCGACAGTATAGACAGTTCTTAGTTATCCCTTTTGCAAGTTAAGGATATTTATGCTGAAGAATACATACGCATAGTGTTCAGTTATGCTGCAACTACCCATCTTACATACCTTCCATCCATAGCAACATATCTTATGAGAGCGCCATATAAACACAAAGTTGTCACCGCTTATCCATGTTGTTACTAATGGTTGTTCCCCAGAAACCAGCGGCGATTTGTTTTTTTCCGTAAAATTGGCTCGGCTTATTTTTCGTTGCTATACAAAGTTGCCAGTATTGACTTTTTTAGTGTAATATTAAATAATCGAAGACAATCCGTAGTTTTTTTCAAAAGAAATTTGTTACCATACAGATCATGTATATTTGATTTGCGTTTATATTCGAACATATAAATTATGAAATTGGTTGACGAAATTTATAAATTTTTTCAAAAGTGTGCAAAAACACTAGGAGCTGGCAACGTTTCGCCGCTGTCAGTAGCGTCGAAAGCTCGTCTATGCATATCGCTATTCCAGTCGGCTGTTATGGACGGTTGGTATGTAAGATGGGTAGTTGCAGCATAAGTGCAAATTGGTACTACAGGAAACTCTAAGATGTTTTGTGACTGGTCCTAAACTAGCAACTATGAGCCTAGTTAAAATTGTTAGGTGATATGAAATTAAATTTTTTTTATTAACAACAAAAATATTATATATAACTGTAAAATATATAAATTTTTCTCGTACTCAAATATTTTCATCATATAAACTTTCCCATAGCTAAATTTCAAATAATTTTTAATTATATTTAATTATTTTTAATTTAGTTGACAATACAAATCTATTTTTTTTTCATATATTTCAAAAAAGAAACTTCTGATTCATACTTCTTATGTCAATATACATACATATGTACATATACTGTCATATATTTTACGTGGTGACATTGACATTACGTCTGCCACTGCGGGCAAAGTTGAATGATAACTGATAAAAATCCCACGTTCATTATGATAATGTCAAAAGAAAATTTGCTTTATGATTTTTGTACGCAGTGATTACATTATTTGTAGAATTTCATTCAGAATTTAAGTATATTTTTGTAAAATATTCCACGGTGTCTATAAGTATAAATATTTTTGTATGCTCAAGTGTTATATTTAATATTTTAAAGTTCGCAAATGACACTGCAGATGTCGGGAACGTGATCGTTGCGGTATTCTCATAAGTATTTCTTTCATGTTCTTTTTTATTCATATAGATAACAAGTTCTTGTTTGCAAATTTGTCACTCCAACAAAGTTTTTTTTCTTGTGGAAACTAGAGTTCTTTTTTGTTTTTGTTTTTCATTACCTGCTTTCATCAGTGGATAACAATTTTACAGTTTATTTTATCAGAAGTTGGATATTAAATGATTATATATTTGGGAGAAGACTTACATATATATATATATGTATATGCATATTACCGCTAAAGCTAAAGTTTTATGGTATGCGTCTTTATGTTTTTTTGAGAAGATTTCATTTCATGTCAGAAATATACTCCTCTCTACCGAGGGGCGACCGCACCTAGAAAAATTAATTTTTTATAATTTTGGATGTTGGTGGAACCAAAAAAAGGCAAAATGAGTTTTAGCTTTCATTAAACGTTGGACTAAGGAATTAAAGAACCCATACATTACCAAATTACTCTTTACCTCACTTGTTAGGCCCATTTTGGAATATGGCTCAGTTGTATCAATTGTATAGCAATAAATTGGAATTTGTACAAAAGCTATTCCTATTTTTCTTATTAAGAAATTTAAACAGGAACGCGAACAAGAGCCTGCCTTCTTACAAAAGTCGTTTACGGCTCATTAATCTGCCTTCACTCCATAGTCGTAGAAAGATGCTTGGAGTTTTATTTTTAACAAAATTGATAAGAGGTGCTATCAATAGCCCTTTCCTAATTAGTGAGCTCAACTTTACTAGCCCATTAAGATCCTCTAGACACTTTAGGGCCCTTTCCTTGGGCTCGTGCAGAACAAACTCTGAAATGCACGACCCTTTAAGATCTTTTTGTAACGATTTCAATGCACATTTACCCAACATTGATTCCTCTGACTCGCTTTTCTGTATCAAAATCTACTTACTAAGTGCCTTAAGTTATTAAATAAATTCCCTCTTCTTTTCCCCATGCAATTTTATAGCAGCTGATGAACAAATCTGTAGCTCTTTACTGTAAGAGGCAAGTGTAATCGCGACCTTACGCGATCGGTTTCGCGTTCAGGGCAGTCCGGACTGTTACTGGTTTTTGGTCACCGTTCTGTTGGATTTTACGATTTACCTCCGACGCGCCTCTCGATCGGTTGTTCGGGAGGTGGGTAATGCTGGGTTCGTCGTAAAAAAAAAGTTAGAACCCTGGCAACACGCCAACCACTCGCCATGTTACATGATTAGACACTAGTAAAATGTGGAAGTTTTGAATTTTGTTGAAACCTTTGTATGTAAACTTCATGGAAGCAGTACCATATGAGGATTTTAATAAGTTTTTTATTTATTATTTAGTAGATTTATTGTACTGCGCATTTATTTTTCGAGTTTCACCATCGTCAAATACATACACGGACAAACTCAATCTCTAATGGAGAAGACTTACTAATGGAGATTTTGACGTAAGCACTTCCGCCAACGCACAGCATAATCTCAAGAAGTTGAAGATTATCAGCACTTAATCCTTAGATCGCTTGAATGGCGTACAAATTCTTGTGCAATTAGTAGTGTGCCAAGTAAGCAAATTATTTCTTGGAAATTTTACCGCAATTTCTTAAGTGTGGAACAAGCAACAGTATATTCTTCATGTAAGCATAGAGAGCAGTTTTAGCATATACACTCAGAGCAATTTATAGGTAATTAATCAGAACAGAAAATTTTTGAAAAAATTTATTTATTTAAAAAAATCATTTTAATTGTTAAAAAGTAGTCTCTAAATAAATTTTTGCCGTATTTGACGTCATAAATAATTCGTCTTTAAATTGCTGGCAAGCTGGTAAAATGTACTAGCAGGCCTTCATGTCTAAGGACTGTCAAAAGTGACAAGAGAATGGCACTATATATAAAACAAAAAAAACAAAAATTAACTAAACAAATGGCAATATAAACAAATATGCATGAAACAAATGTCTGCCATGAATTTAAAAATATTATTAACTCTATTATTGTAAATTATATTTACAGAAGAAGATATTTTTTTTCATGTTTAAAGTACACTTGATAACCTTTTATTGTCGTTGCATGTTCTGTGTACCACTGTCACCTAAGAAAGTGACATACAAACAAAAAATGTAGCTAAATATTTTTCTAAGAAAAATTGTTGTTTACTTTATAGCGTATTGTGTCTGTTAAAAAATATTGAAATAATGGGTCAGTTCAGATATGCTGGGTAAAAAATGTTAGAAGAAATAATATTTGAAGTAGAAGCTAACTTGCGTTACGGCGAGGAATATTTTGAGTTGGACAAGCAAGCAAAATTTTGATTTTTAATTTTTATTTTAATATTGCTTATAGGTGGCCGCGGTAGACGAGTGGTTAGCATTGCGTACTGCGATCCGGAAGTTTAAGTCCTGGTGTCGTGCTAACAT